GGGAGTGGATGCGCCGATTCCGGGGGAGAGGTTGCCCTGAGGCGGTGAATGCCGGGCAGCGGGGGACGGAGAGCGGTGGTGGTGGGTCGCCGACGCCGGCTTCTGGGGCTGCTGGTGCGGCTGAGACGTCGGGGTCGGAGGGCGGGAAGAGGGTGCGGTGTCGTGGATTGTCGCGGAGGAGGGCGGGGTCGCGTTGAGTAGGGGTGGCGAGGTGATTCGTTTCTTCTTGGGTTGACAGTGTGGTGATGGCGGCCTGGTCGTCGGTTCAATTCTTATGAGGAATGTTTTGGCAATGCTTTTCGGTTCTGAGATGGGCCCGGTCCCTCTACTTGTTTTCTTCTTCGGTTCTTCCCCTTTACCTCTACCGCCGTTGAACAACGTTCAAAGAGCGGTTAGAGAATGGGTACCAAGAGTGTATTTTTATGCTATAGTTACTTGTGGTTGCTTAGCCAACAACGTTGGACTTTATGATGGATGAGTCTGGCCAGCTTCTGGATTGCCAGGGGTGGTGTGTGTGAGGGGGTTGGCTAGTTTATAGTTACCTACCTAGGAGAGTAGTTGAAGAGGGTATCCGTATCTCTCGCTCTCTTTGTGTTTGTTTCCGTCGTGGGAAATGAGAAAAGAGGACTTCAGTTCATTTACCTAACAGGGCAATCGTCCGGAGCGTCCCCACAAGCAATTACGCACTACGAGGTTGGTATATTTAGCGGTAGCACGACAATAGCTCAACGTAATCGCCTATTTTCCATTTACTATATATAATATTCAAAATAGCACGGCATAGTCACGTACTTGTACATAACCTAGATACAGGCAGGGCAACCAATCTCGGCTTCAGGACTTGGAGACCCCAGAATAGGAATAAGATTTCCATCCTTCAACAACAATCATCACCGCCTTTCCAAGTTACTCCTCCAACCAAGTCCTTCAACGCGTTCTGCGGACCGTCCGGGGTCGGCGCAGAAAGTTTCAACACTTCATTGCTCGTCGCGGAAGCCACCCATTTTTCGTCCTCAATGGAGTCCAAAGAATGCTTCACAGACAGGAGGACTCCCTTTGATGATGGCATTGCCGCGATCATGGCCTCCACCCACGACATATCCCCGAAACTGACATTCTCGACCCGCGTGCCAATATACTCCTCCACCAGCTTCACGATTTGTGGCCCAGTAATATCCTCAGGCCCATTCACAACATACCTTGCTTTGTTGTGCGGCGAGGGATCTGCTTCAGCGAGGAGGTGAGCTGCCAGAACACCAATCTCCCATGGGTCGATGATGGCCAACGGGGCGTGCTCTGGCACCATCAACCGTAGCGTGTCCTGCTTCCCAGTCTTGCGATACTCCTTGATCAGCGCCGCAGCAGGACCGACAGCAAAGTTGGCGAAGAGGTTGGGCTGAAGCGAGGTCCACTGCAGGGCGGCGAACTCGGGCGAGCTGAGTAGAGCCTCGACCGCCCAGTGCGAGCGCGGGTAGTAGGCGACGCAATCCGGCCGGACGTTTGCAGCCGCTGTAGAGATGCGGACGACGTACTGGATGCCCGCCTGGAGCGCTGCGAGGTGGAAGCCCGATTCTTCGGGGAACTGGTTAGGTTCGGTGTGGGATGCAATGAAGGCTCGGGTGACTCCTTGCTTCCGTAGCCAGTCGGCCGTGATCTCCACCCAGTTCTTCTCCAAGAACTCGACGCCCGGGAGGCCTGCAAGCCGTTGTGCTACCGGGTTTTCCAGGGATCGTGTTAGGGCGATGATCCGGCTGCCGGACAAAGTGTTGCTTGTTTCCAGCAACTTGGAAAGAGTTTCAACCACTCCTCTACCGGTGTTGCCAGTAGCACCAACGACAAGAATGGTTGCAGTCATGGTGGCCACGGTACCGATGGTAGGTTAGGTTGGCAACGGTAAGTGGTAATTAGGTTGGGAAAAATGTATAGTTTATCGTGAAGAAGACTTGGGAAGAATAATCTTGGATTCCGATACCAACCCCAAAGTAAGGGGGACACATGGCGTCATTATATCTATTCATTGTCGGACGTAAAAACTTCGGATATAAACCTCAGCCTGCCGTTGGATATCGCCGAGATCACAGAATTTGTCAGACAGCCCCCAATTGCTTCCAGAAACAGCCCGGTATCCGCCGGGTGCCAAGTACCAAGTTTATAAGCAACGCAAAGGCTGGTATAGCTATGCGGACGGGATAATGTCGCTCGGGGAGTTCTGTGTGGGCATGTCTTACAAATAAACTATTATGGCGATCTGGTGGCAACCGTAGGGGCACCAGAATAGCTCCATTCCTTTTGTTATAGCAAATATCTCTACAGGTGCATCCCCAAATTACGTCTAAAATCTATCACACTTCAGGCAAGCAACTTCAGAATATCGGCCATTCGTGTCTCCTTCGTCTTCTTCTGCTTGGTCTGCTTCTCCTGGAAAGCCTTATTGACAAGCTCTCTCTTTTCCCCTTGGATGTCAAGCACTCGCTCCTCGACGGTGCCCTCCATTACCAGGCGCCAGACCGTTGTGGGCCGGGTTTGACCCAAACGATGGACACGGTCAACAGCCTGGTCCTCGATGGCGGGGGCCCACCAGCTGTCAGCCAGAACGACCGTGTCGGCTGAGACCAGGTTCAATCCGACACTGCACACGCTCAGACTGGCGGGCATAATGCGGGTAGCGGGGGTCGTGGTCGAGATGCGCGAATAGCGGCATCGCGTTTGGACGTATTTCATGCTGTCCGTCGATGCGGGGTGTAGGTGTACCCCGCCTCGTCCAATTGCCGCTGAATGACGGTCAGGAACGATGTCCATTGAGAGAAGATGATCACCTTGGATCCATCGTTTTTCAGAGTAGCCTGGAGGATCTTGAGCAGTGCTTCGGTCTTGGAGCTCTTTGTCTCTGGGTCAAGGCTCTCCTCTTCGTCTTCGGCAGAGTGTTCAGGCGCCGGTTCGACCAGCTTGTCCTCGGCCAGCTCGGCGCGGCACATGGGACACTTGTGCTGTATCTCAATGACCCTGGAGATACAAGCACGGCAGAATGAATGCTTGCAGTGAGTGATGACGGGGTCCGTCAGGTGTTCCATGCAAACAGGGCATTCCTCTTGGCTCTCGATTATGAGCTGAAGCGCTTGTTGCAGGAGCGCACGGTTCTCGTCATTGAGCAGGACGGTGCCCTCCTCTTCAAGGAGCTTCATGAGATCGGTGATGCGGTCCTTACATAAGGTCCAGTGGTTGCATCTGTATTCGTCAGTCCCGGTCTGTTGAAATGAAGAAAAGGCACACACGTTTGGCGAAGGCGGAGTAGTCTCTCGAGAACGCCTTGAAATCTGCCCTTTTGACCCGACTTCGACTTGTTCTGAAAGTCCTGCAGGGCGCCTTGGGCCTCGGAACTGTCCAGTGTTAGCGGTATCCCAAGAGGCTACGGGTATGAGCCATATACATACAGCAAAGCCTCGTATTTCTTCTTTTCGCCCGCCCAAAAGGTAATACGGTGAATGTATTCGGTCTTGGCCGGAAGTTTAAGGTCAACAAACTTCATGTCCTTCCGCCGACGGAGACAGACATCTTTCATGAGGGACTGCAACAAGGCCTCGGCGCGGGTTTCCCCGAGTGCTAGAGGCCGTGCAATGACGGTGTTGAAGATATCAGACTGTTCAATGCCGCCTGTAATATGGAGGAACTTAACAAGGGAGTGAAGATCCTTGATATTATTGACGCTAGATGTTTTGGTCAGTTAAAGGAAAAAAGGTGGGTCACGCTTTAAGCTTACATTGGAGTTCCCGTAAGAACCAATCTTGATTTCGCCTTCAACTTGCAGGCAGCCTCAGCTGCTTTTGTTTTGGCGTTGCGGATGGTGTGGCCCTCGTCTAGAACGATCCGGCGCCAGTCGAGTTTGGACAGAGGGCCGCCTATCGTTGTGTCGCTAGTCAGGGTACCGTAGCTTGTGATGACAACCCCAAATTTGTTCAAGGACTTGGCGGCAGTCTGCCGGGAGGCTCCATGGTAGATGAGCACTTCTGGTAGGTGTTCTTCAGAGACGTGGCGCTTGATTTGTTGTTCCCAGTTGCTCATCACACCAACTGGCGCAACGATGAGCGTGCTCCCCGGCCCACCGGTCATGATCAGACTGATGACTTGAAGCGTCTTGCCCAGGCCCATGTCGTCGGCTAGGATTCCACCAGATAGGAGATCAGGGGGCGCCGCAACGGTAAAGTTGGTGGCAATGTTGACGTATCGACCTTTGGCATCGCGCTTCCAGAGCTGGACAGAATTTGGAGAACCAGGTTCCGGAAACACGGGGTTCTCCTTCGCTGTGAGCCAAGCAAGGCCTTGAAGCTGATACGGCAGCAGCTTAGCGCACACTTTGTCGGGTTGTTCGGCCTGAGGCATTCCGGCGAGTTGGTCTTCATCCATGGCCAACGTCTGGGCAATGTCTCCACCGGCACGGAAGTTGACAGTTTGGCTGGTCTGAGCCAGTTGCGCCAAAGAAACCTCTTCTTTCTCAGCGGGCGCGAACCCAGCAGTACTTCTGCTGGCCTTCAAACCCAAGGTTTTCCGTTGTTGGTCGTTATCCTTTCGGGTCTGCTTGAGCTGTGTGGCCTTGACGAGTTTGTCTTTCTTCAGACGCTCCTCCAGACTAGCCCGGCCAAGGGCGTCGCCGGTTCCGTAGATGTACATGCGAATGGGGCAATCGTAGAAGCCCTTCTCGCCAATGAGAATAGCTTCAATAGTGATATCATTGTTATCCTGACGGCCGTGAGCACTCACTCCTATAATAAGGGGGGATAGTTGCCATATCTGAACGTACCAGGTATGGGGCAAGCCTCTCAGCGACTGTTCTCGGGATGTGCCCGATCTGTCTTCCGAGTACATTGTCCACCCGAATTGCATTTGGATCATACTGGTGATTTCGGGGTTAGCCGAGCGAGCGGAGCCCGGCACCGAGACATGTCGAACGCACCTGATTCGAGGGCTCTCTTTTACAGATCACCACTTCGCCGGCGGTAGCCATGCCATTGTAATATCTCACACCCACAATTTTGCCGTCTGTAGAGTGGGTGTTAGACTCGCGACATCTAAAGTGGGCAACGCAAACAAAACATACCAAAAGAGCCATACAACTCTCGTTGGGGGCCATCATCACTTTGAGTGAGATCCTGCGTTGAGGGTTCAGGCTCATCGTTTTCAAGATGCCTTTGGGTTGCATTCGGTACCGAGGTCGCGCTGGATGACGATTGACCTAACTGAGGTGCAGCGGGTTGCGACCTGTTTGACGCAGAAGGATGGCGCGGTGACTTGGCGGGTCGGGTGTTCTCGTCACCACCGGTCAAATCGACGACCTCACGGGGCCGTTTGGTTTGACGCGGCATTGCGAGTCAGTTTAAATTGGGCCAAAATGAAAACACCAGAATCACAAATCACTGCAGCAGTTCTTGAAATGAAACGTTCCAGACTCAATGAGACATGCGTCCCGCAATGATGCACAAAGTGTGGAACGCGAGGAAGGTGGATTGGCTGCTTACTGTGCAAAGAACTTGATGGCTGAAATGGGAAATGGAACGCGACATCCTAGTCTGGCGATGCGTGCGCACGTGACTTAGATCGGGGTTGGCAAGGCTGGGAAACAACCCGAGCAGAAAGGGAAGTGGGGGACGGCAGGCCCCAATCCGACCCGACGCTTTTCCCATCCTCCAGTAGCACCCTCTAGTCTAGCCAAAAAGAGCCGAACACAAGAATAAAATAAACACAATATTCAGGAAAAAATAGAGACGGAGGGAAAATATTCAGATAACAAACGCCAAATAACGAGGGCTAAAACAAAACCCTTTAAACTTCCGGATATTTTTTGTTTCGCTCCTACAAATCGAGCATCTACATCCAAGTACGTACACTTGGAACCCGGCTTTTTTTGACAATATCTGCACAGTACTTGTGATGGCTCCATGATCGGCCTCTTCTTACCCGCTCTTGGTAGCCAGGAGCCATGGCAGCTTGGCTATGTAACGCTGGGCTGATATGGTGGTCAGCGAAGCAAAGAGCCCCGGGAGAGTGAGTAGGGAGCATTTTAATGTTATTAAAGAGGAGGTGATGTGAGTTGTGAATTAACTGACCTTTACCTGTTCCCTTGGACTTCTCCACGTTCTGCTCTGTTCAACATGCCGGAAACAGAGGAGTACCAACTTCGCCCGCTGGGCTGGGAGAACGACCCGGAGGTGGAGAGGCTGAGGTTCTCCAGCCTCGATTACCTCGCTGCCTGTACCTACAACAGTTACGCTTTATTTTTTAAACTGAAAGATGAAGAGAGGGCCAAGACTCTCGCCGTTTTGAAAGAGGGCCTGGAAAGGACATTGGCACAATGCAGGCAGCTGGTCGGGACAATCGAAAAGAACGACGACGACGATGACCACTCCTTCGTTAAGAAGCGAGACAGCACCGTTAAATTCGTTGTCAAATACTTCGAGGAAGAAGACGACACACCCTCCATGTCGGACATCGAGAGGGCTCACTTTGCCTCGTCCTCCCTCGGAGACACCGGCCGGTTTGTGGTTGAGGGTATGTCATATGGCGAGAAACCCGAGTGTTTGCCAAGCACGAAGCCCGTCGTTTCGGCGTTCCAGGCGAACTTCATTACTGGCGGGCTCATTTTTGTCGCCAACACCCATCACTACTCCAACGACGTGATGGGATGGGCCAACTTCGTCTATCAGCTAGCCGACAACTGCAATTCCATCGTCAACCTGACCGCGCCTCCCTCATGGGACTCAGCGAACTTAGATGCAACTCGGTTCACTGCCTCCGACTTCCCTTCTGCATCAAAGGTTGACGGTCCCACGTCCCCGGAGCGCCATCCTCTGTTGCGCGAGCATGCTGCGCTCTTGTTCCACCTCCCCAAAAGCAAGGCCGAAGAGCTAAAGGGGCTCGCTACGCCAGCCGGGCAATATCAAACTATCCCTTGGGTTTCGACTTACGATGCCTTTTCAGCCCTCCTATGGCGCGTCATTACCCGGCATCGCGTTGCTCTTTACAACCCGGACCTCGACGAAACACCCACCCTGATCGAAGGAGTCAACATGCGGGCTCGAACAGACCCGCCCGTGGCCCAGGCGGCTGCAGCGCAACTTGTTCTGGGTGGCGATCTCAGCGAAGTACCCGGATCCCCTCACTATCAAGGAGATTGCCTCCCTAGGAGACGCGGTCCCCCTTTCTCTTCTGGCGACCAAGATCCGCGGCATGACTAACAGTATGGACCAAGCAGCGCTGGACCAGGTCCTTGCCATGCTGGCTCCCATTCGTGACAAGACCTGCCTGTTTTCGAGAGTTGACTCATTCCCGCCCCTAACGGTGGTTATCACCGACTGGCGGTTAGCTGCCGTGTGTGAGAAGGCTGACTTTGGCTTTGCCCGGCCATGCGCTTTCCGGCATTTCTTCGATGCCGTATCCGAGGGTCTGATTGTGGTCTATCCACCTCGCATGTTTGGGAGTGATACCGATGAGGGCTGCGAGTTTGTGGTCACGATGGAGAACGAGATTGTGGAGGCGGTCTTGGGTGATCCGGATATGAAGAAGTATTTCGAGTTCAGAGGGTACGAGGTGAAAAGGGGCGTAGAGAGTTCGTTGGGATAAACATCAACGAGGACGCCGAGGTGGTGAAACGAGATGCATGTAGATCGGAGCGTTGCTAACAATTGCAGTTAAAATAAGTTACAAACTTTCCACCAGTTACCATTATCCTCCTCCATTACACAAAGTCAAACTCAACCTTAGTTCCTCGCTGGCTTAACCACCCAACACACCGCCCAACAGTCCTCCGCCGCCCTTCTTACCACTCTTCAGGCTCTTAGTAAAAGACCCGAGACCAAGGCCCTCGAGGACACGGTTCAGGCCAAGGGTTCCAAGTAAACCATCAACAAGGCCGCCAAGTCCAAGTCCACTCAGCTATCTAACAGTTAGCATCGCGCCTCTCATCCAACTCTCTTCAGACAAAGACTTACCAGCCTGCCCACAAGGTTAAGCACACCAGCCAGCAACAAGCCAACAGCCGCCAAGATCTGGAACAGCGGCTCATTCAGCAAGCCCCAGAGCGGGTTCAGCTCCTTCTTCGCATGAGGCATGTCCTCGAGCTTGCGCTTGGCGTTGTCGATGCACTGCGTCACGTCGCCGGTGAGATCCTTGAGGACCTCGGCGAGGTGATACTCCTCGGGCGTGGCCTCGCGCGCCGCCGTCTTGTGCTTGGCGTTGGCCGAGATGCGGCCCTCGGGATCGAGCCCCTTGATGATGCCCTTGGCTTCGTTGAGGATGCGCCCGCCTTCTTCGATGAGCGGCCGGACTTCCTGCACGAGCGCCTCTTCGTCGCGCTCGTCTTCGGGGGTGCGCTCGGCCTTGTCAATTTTCTGTGATCATTGTTAGTAAGGTAATAAGTATAGGGGTGAGTTTCTCGAGATAACCCACCTCGGTGATCATCTTGCAGATGGGGCGGATGCTGTCGAGACACTGCTCAATGCAGATCGACATCTGCACGGCGAGCTTCTTGTCCTTCTCAGCCTGCTCACGCTTCTCCTTCTCTTCTGGGGACTCCTCCTCTTTGGGTTCTTCGGGAATGTCTTCGAGGAGGGAGCAGCGGCCAACTGTGTTGCCCTTGTAGTCGACAACGTCCTCCCGTCATTGTTTATGTCCGTTCCGGATCGATATTGAGCTCCCCCTCAGGTGAGCTTTCCCATCACGTTACCGTTTGCGTCTATGTCTTTATCCTCCTGGTTTACCCCGCGGCATACTTGTGTTCTTTCTGCGCACAATTGTCTATGGTCTCAA